CCTAGGGTCCCCTTGGCCAAGTTTGCTGATGGGGCCTGTGGACCACCCACTCCCCAACCCAGAGCCCACACAGCAGGGCAGCAGCTCAGGGACTAGTTCATTCCACCTCCCAGTGGGCTCCGCACCTCGCAGGACCCACCTCAGAGACGACTCAGGCCCTGCTCCCGCCCAGTTCACACGCTGTAACTCTGCAGGCTGCCCGGAGAACAGTAGCTTGCACAAGGCTGCCGGACCAGACACACACAATCTGAGGGGCTCAGTACAAAACAAAAATGCCCGGCACTTGGTGATGCTGACGCCAGTAGCCCCATGGTCCTCAGTCTTGAGGTTTCGTCAGAACCTTCTGGAAGACTTGTTACAGCACAGGTTGCTAGGCCCCACCCCAGAGTCTCTGATGGAGGTCTGGGCGAAGCGGGAGAATTGAGCCTGCAACATCCCAGCAGGTGCCGACGCTCCCGGCCCTTGGGAACCAGACCACCAGTGAAGCCTCTCCCTGCACACCAGCTATTTACACTGCCCGCACAGGGTCCTCTGACAGCACCTTCATTCCTTTACCCCTCACACCTCGGTGAGAGTAATACTCTTTCCTTTTCCTGGAAGGAAAACCCAATGCACATGCTTGCACAGGTGTCAAGACAACACTTACTCCCTCCAGAGGCTAAAAGACTCAGGCTAAAATGAAAGCAGCAGCTCACCTCCACCAGGAAGCCTGCCCGGACTGTCCCTTCGGTTTCCAAAATCATGGAAGGCAAAGGCCATTCACTTAACATATACGCATCAGCATCTCTAGCAGCAAGGCCCGACTGGGGACACAGCTGGCGATAAGCGCAGACCACCCTGTCTTCCCTCTCAACACTGGCATCTGCTGTCTCTTCCCAGGTCTGCCCCCTCCACCCACCCCAGCCCCCACTCACGTGGACCCTTGGCATACAGGAGGCCTGCACGTGCCTTTTCAAGATCTCCCTAAGTCCTCCCCAGATCCTCCCACTGTCTCTGGGTCATTCCAAGCAAGGAGATAGAGAATATTCTAAATAAGTGAAAATTGAAGGAGGATGGCACCAGACGTGTGAGAAGCCTCAAGCAAGGCAGCGTCACTCCCCCAAGGCCGCAGCCCACACTGGACAGGCACGGACTGACGCACACCCCCTCGTCCGAGTGGTTCAGACACACACACACACACACACACCACCCGTGTGATCATCTCCCCACCTGATGGAAAATCCTGGGACAAGCTCCTCCCCCGCCGGGTGCCCAGACTGGACAGGTGCCGCAGCCCCTCCCGCCCCTTCTCAGGGCACCAGGCCCTGGTGTCCGAAGCTTCAGGTAAGAGCAGGAACACAGCCCTTGCTGGCCCGGAGGAGGCCACAGAGCACTCTGGTTCCCATTCAGCCTGCCTCCAGGATCTGTGTGGAGAGGAATTTAAGCCCGGCTTCTTGTATCTGTGGCTAGAGGAACCCATCAACTCCAGTAAGAAAACAAAATTACCAAAATCAAAGTGTTTTACTCACAAATACACACACTGAACCCCTTTCTGGGAGCTGGTAAAACATTCAAATCTTGGACCCGTCTGACTTCCCTGGTCCTTCAGACCTGGGTTTCCTGAAAAGTGTGACCCTAGGAGCCCACAGGGCCCCACTTGCCCCACCCGAAGCGTCCCAGAGTCAAGACAGCAGCTCCGGGATCAGCGCAGAAGCAGCAAACCTTCGGGAAAGAGCCTTCGCCCAGCTTGGGGCCAAAGGGGAGACGCTGTGTCGTCAAACCTCCCAAACCTCTGTCGCCTGGGCACCGCCAGTGTCCTCCCCTCCGCTCCCCAACCTCACTTCCAGGCTGAGGAAGTGCGAGGACTCGAGGGGGTTCTCCATCTCCAGAGCCTGGGGGTTCAGTTCACAGTCTGGGTTCTGGGGGGCAAGCCGGGGGTGCAGAGAGCCATCCAGTCCTCAGCCCGCGCTGTGCACGCCGGCGGGTAGGCCTCGCGTCTACACCCCAGTCTGCTCTTTAATCCAGTCCCGAAACACGGGGAGCCTTGTGTACACTCCCGGCTTGTTCCTCTGCGCGCAGC